CCCAAAACCCCAAAACCCCAAAACCCCAAAACCCCAAAACCCCAAAACCCCTTTTACTTTAGGCTTAATTGAATTCTATAAATTACGAGCCTGGTTGGCTATGTCAATCACTAGGATTTGTTAACATGGTGGAGGTAGATATCATCCTGGCACTCCATTTTACTTCTGAATCACATTGTCCAACAATTTGTGATACAGTTTCCATTAGACTCATGGTAGTATTGGGGTTGAGGCTTCTGAGCTTCATTATCATCATCAGCATTGAGAAGGTTTCCGTTTAAAGAATCACTTGAGGTGCTATCCACCATGTTATTAGCTTTTTCGGTAACAGGTTTTCTTCTAGAATACCTTTCATTCGTCGTTTTAGCAGCACAGAAATTCCTAACTTGAACAGCCAATAATAAAAATAAGGGTAAGATAAATAATCCTCAGAAGATGAAAATTCCTATTTTTACCCATTTCACAGCTGTTCTGCTGAACATCGATTCTGGGAAATATCTGGGGACAAAGAAGAGCCAGAGACCATCACTCTCGTCATAATTAGCTTTCATATCCAAGTTATATGTATTGAATTTGAAAGCTGTGTAGACAATTATGAGGGCTAAGGAGATTTCAGTAAAGAATAGGAATAACATAAAAGATCTATGATTTTTAACACCAACTCAGTTATTCACCCATGGGCAATGATGATCAAACCTTTCTACTCAGCGATTACAAATGCTGCAATGGCGAGATCTCGGAGTCCTGATCACTTCTCATTCAGGGCAGAGCATGGTGGGATCTAGCTTATCCAATAAAGTAGCAAAATCTATTTTTGGAGTCTCCAAAAATCCAGGGTTACTACAAGATCACCATATTAAGAGCAGCAAGGAGAGAACTCCAAAGCCTCCGATGCCATACATCATGAAATGCTCTGTGTCATAGTTGAGTGTAACAGGGAATATGTATAAGAAAAGAACGGTATTGATTACCAAAAAGAATAGGATATACAACATTATCTGAAATGGATTCTTTCTAACTTTCTTCAAAGGTGTCTTTAACATCAGTCAGTCAAATGGAGAAGGAGTTTTCAAGATATTCTTCAGCTCAATTCTTAGCTTAGGGTCATTAACCTCGTCTATGAGGTCAATGGGCTTTCTCTTGATCTTATCCTCCACTTTTCTGGAAGCACCGTTTATGAGAAGAGCTCTTACTGGTCTTGTCGTATTCAAATCATTCACTGCTTTCACAGCTAAATGGAGAGGAGTCAGCCCTCTCTGATCTGGTTCATTAATTTTAATATCCCAAGCTAGAAGGTAGCTGATAGCTACTTCAGACTTTGAGAATCAAGCCCAGTGCAGAGGTGTCGAGCCTCTATTATCCTTACTATTAATGTCTAGTTCGAGATTTTTGAAGTAATAAAGCATGAAAGCTTGGTCTCCTTGAGCTGCAGTGTGGAGCATATTCAGCCCATCTTTATTCAAAGCAAAAATGTTTGCTTTGATATCAATGAGCATTTTTACAATGGAAAATTTTCCGCTGAAGGAAGCCATATGGAGAGCACTAAACTCGTCTTCATTTGTTTTAAGGTTGGCCCAGATTTTAAGTTTCTTTACCTTATCTTTTTCAGTTAGGCCATAACAAGATTTTTCTTGAGCAATTTGAATTACACGAGCACAGATAGCTTCAAGTCCTTTAAACGCAACGATATGCAAAACAGTATATCCTCTTGAGTCCACTAAAGTTGTAATGTCAACATGACTATCTTTGAAAAAGCCATAAATGGCTAGTTCATCCTCCTCTTCCAATAACTGGAACACAGTTTCAGATGCATTAGTGCCATCTTGGGCTGCCTTGATCTTCTGGTTGATATAATTGAAAGAATCTCTATCCTGGTTCTTTGCTAATGCATCTTTATCGAACATAAGTTCGTCATCAGAAAGGTCTACCTCTCTGGAGAACTTATTGCGCTTAAAGTTGGTGGACTCTGAGTTGAAAGAGAAGCGGTTATCCTGACGGGATAACCCCTGCTCTGAATTATCAGTAATCCCATCATTATTAAGGGCATAAGAAGGCTCAGTCGAGCGCTTCTGATCCTCTTGTGTATTCGGGCTTCTAGAAGACATATTAGTTGGAGATTATTATTATAAGAACAAGATCAGTTTTATAATCATTAGAGGGGTTTTGGGGTTTTGGGGTTTTGGGGTTTTGGGG